GAGGGGGGGGGGGGGAATAATTACTCGGGCTGGATAGAATAAATAAATACGGTATATTTCAATAAGGGGTTAAACGTTTCAATATAAGAAATTTCACAGTCAAATCCAAGCCCTTCTCTTAGTGATTAATCAAGGGTGGGGGGTAAGGCCAGCCAACTTGCGACACACGGATAATTAATGCTAACACCGATCGAATTCAATAATATCGCGAAAAAGAGGGGCGAAGCTAATTAACAAGAGAAAAGGGTGAGTTTAGGGGGACGATTGAAGTATTCGATAATAGGGGGATTGGTCTGATGCTCACAAAAATTATTGCTATTCTACACTAGTAAATTAATAAACTGAGATTAGAGGCTCCCGTTGGCGGGAACACTATTACGGGGGGTCCGTTGATCTTTGTTGGGGCGGGAAAGGTAATAGAGGGTACTCACGGGGATGGCGGCCATCTCAATCCTTCCTCAAAACTCCTGGGTGCGGGGAGACTCCTCCGACCAATTAATCCCCAAGAGCTGTTCCTTCCCGATCGTCACTCCCGGTCTTGGTAATCCTCCACGGGCACTCTGCCACCAATTCCCCCACAATTCTCCACACACAAAATCTCTCCAAAAATCACCAAGAACTTTCTCCAAATAAATCCCTCCGAATGATTCCTCAAAATACTCCCTCAAAATAATCTCACAAAAGATATGCAATTTATGATACTTCCGCAGGGGCAGCAGTATAACGAGTGATGGCGTCACATTACCCATGCTCGTTCTTCCCCGATTATCGGTGATAATCGGGGTCAATCGCGGACACTCGTCATCGGGTGTCCTCGTCCTAATTATTCATTGTCAGGGGTTCATTCCGGGGTTTCTTTCTCTTCCGGGGTCACGTGGTGTGTGACGTCGTCATGGGAGGTTTTCTTGCCTTCCTTCGTGTGGCGTGTGGAGGCGAGGGGAACGGGGGTGGGGGTTCTCTCTTTCTCTGGCGCGGTGATGCTTCCACGGGTGTGCGTGTAGGGGTTGGGGGGAGCGCGGGGCAAGGGGAAGGAATATGTTGAGGAGTGGGAGCCAACGGTGACAGGTTTTATAACCTCGTCGCCTGATTATTTTCTTAAATTACCTAAACCTACTTAGAATTAAAACAAAAAGTCATGATTAGGGGACAGGGGAGGGGCTAAAGAAAGTGCCTCGTCACAATGCTTAATTAATTGAAAAATAATGAAAAAATGAGGGCGAACGCCAAAAAACTACACTGGATTGATTGGTCTAATCCTATCGGAAAAATAAAAGTATCCAGAGGTTGGGCTGACCGAATTCTTCAAATTGCAAGTAGAAGCAATGTTCCCAAGCTCTTCGTTATTTTTTATTAAATTTTATAACACGATTTGGAACAAAAAGTCCCAAATAATCAGCTGATCACGTATGCCCGCCCCCGTGTTGCGCGCGTCGCTGGACGCACTGAACTTGACGCATTGCACAGGGCATTTCAAACTCCTGCACATCGCGCGTATACCCATGAGCAGCTCATGGGTCTTTTTGTGTTCAACGATGTTTAAAAATTAATTAAAAAATAATAGTAGGATCAGGATCATTACTTCGACTCGAAATTTGAAGAATTAGATCAGCCCAACCTCTGAATATTTTCATCTTTTCGATAGGATTAGAACAAATAATCCAGTTCGGTTTTTTGGCGTTCGCACCAACTTTTTAATTAATTTTTAATTAATTAAACACATTTCTGCTGAACGTGTGGGTGCACATTTTTAATATGATGATGAGGGAAATTTTCTCTACATTTTGGTATAATTTCAGCCTGCCAGGAGTTTTTGAGGTGGTTAAGGTCCAATTTGACTGGCCTATCACCCAAATCATCCAGACGCACTTTGGGAAAAATTCAAAGAAGCTATGTCTTAAGATTATCAGAGAAATTGTGATACTCATAACGCAGAACTAAAAGCGTAAGCCCAAATAAAGGTATTGGTCACAGAAGAAGGATCCGATATACGGCCCTATCCTAATATGCCCCACATTGAAGAATTCGTACCTAATGTTGATAACCCAATCGAAGAAGAACTGAAACAAAATGAAGAGATTGGTCGCAGTCAATATCAAAAATTGAATGTTACACAAAAAGAAATTGTAAATAAAATTTTAAATGTTATATCATCCAGCCCAACAAAACGAACACATACATGTTTCTACATGGACGGGCCTGGTGGTTCTGGGAGAACTTCATCTACACCACAATCTACCATTTATTGACAGGAAATTCGAAAAAAGTTTGCACGACGGCTTTCACTGGAAATGCAGCAATATTACTTCGGAATGAAAAGACAGTACATAAAACTTTTGGTATGTCTGTACCCCTCTTCTCTAACTCTGTATCAAACATTAAAAGCCAATCCAAAGAAGCTGAGTATTTGAGAAACGTTGATATATTCATCTGCGATGAAGTTCCTATCCCACCGAGATATGCTTTGGAGTTAGTTGTTCGAACACTGCGTGACTTGATGCACGTGGACTTACCATTTGGTGGGTCAGTTGTAATTTTAGGAGGCGATTTCAGATAACTACTGCCTGTAAATCCACACGCAACTCGCTGTTAAATGGTCAATATGTCAATTAAATTCAGTGCATTATGGAGATACTTTCTAATGTTTTCCTTACCTGAGAATATGCGAACACTTCCAGGAGAGGCAGAATTTTCCAAATACGTTTTATCTATTGGTGATGGAGTTACAAATAATAACAATAATAATGTATTAGCCCCAGAACAATGTGTGGCTCCGAGAACAGATGATATTGTTGAAACCATGTTCAAAAACCTCATAGATGAACAAATATTTGGTGATTGTACGCATACAGCCATACTATCTGCGCGAAACATTCATGTTAAAGAAATCGACAGTAGAGTTGTAGAATTATTCGATAAAGAATCCGAAAAAATTTACACTAGCGTTGACAGTATCGATAACTGTGATAATGGAGATAGTATCATGCTTATTCGTAATGTCAGTATAAATGAAGGGCTATGCAACGGTACATGAGTATAGATATTAGAACTGGCGACCAATCTTCTGAAATGCCGCATTCTAAGTGGCGATAGATCAGGAGTATCATTTTATATTGCGAAGATATTCATCGTTTTACATTCAAACGTCAACAATTCCCAATAAATTTAGCATTCACAATGACTATCAACAAACGTCAAGGACAAACATTCAATAAAATTGGCATCAATCTTCGGAACAATGTTTTCAATCATGAACAACGATAAGTTGCATTTTCACGTGTTCGATCATGGACATCACTACGAATTCACCGAGTTGTACGATTGAGTTCATAATCTATGAACAATATTCAAACATTTCATAGTGATCCACATCGACATCGCACATCATTTTATTGATAAGAAATTTCCTATGTGTTGATGTCAAATGCTTTCGGACGAATCAAAGCTGAATCAACTTAATTTATATAACCGAAACAAAACTCATCCTTCATTGTGAAATTAAAAATCGTAGGAGCCGAGGTGACGCAACGAACGTAACGGATGTATTCATCCCCCTCTCGCCCGCGCCTCCCGCCCATATTTTCGTTCTTTCATCAGACATTTCTTTCTACTATTAGGAGTGAAAGGCCTGACGCGCCACGTTCATTAACTATAAAGGGCTGCTTTATGGATCTGACGTGATATCTCCGGTATGTGTAACTTTCATCATATGAATAATGTCCATCATCGATTCAGTAATTACGGAACGAGATTCAAATTTCAATAGTTTGGAATATAGGCGAATCCTTCCAGAGGTCTCACTTCTGCTGTGTGACTAGAGTAGCCCCATCATAAATAAATAACATTAAAACAAAAATTCCTTTATAAAACTATAAGTTTTCAGGAGGAGCTCTTTGAAAGAGAGAAGACGAGTGGAAAGAGAGGCGGAACGACAAATATGACGTTGTGGTGCCGTGCGGGCCCCTTAATTGTTCCTGAAATTCTTGAACCCCCCTGTCCTTCTATCACTGCTGACACGATGAGCGGGTAATAGTGTAATCAATAATTTGAGTTACTACAGGCGGGTAGCAGCTGGCATAGCACTCCTCGAGTCAAGTCAATGATATTAGGTAGTCGGGTGAGGTGAGGTGAGAATTCTGTAATTAAGTGATCTGTATGACGTTATCATCAAAATCTAACATCTTTCTGGAAGTCCATTGTCTATGAGTGTACCTATATACATTAGAGCTGACATACCGCCATGTTCTCGTCGAAGCCCTGGGTAATACAGAGAGCGGTAGGGTTATGCGCCGCCGGTGAATTGTGACAACAGTGGTCGGTTAGGAATACCGTTGAATATAAACACAGATTTGAGAAAAGACTTGCACGCATGGACTTGTTCCTGATATGAAAAATATATTTAATTTCCTACTTACAATTATAGGGCGTCACTGGAGATATAATCGAAGCTGATCACTGTTGCTTCCTTACATTGAAGAACCAAATAGGTTTGAGCCTGTTACGTCGATTCTTAATTTGCCGCCGCATGACAAGTCAAGACTAAATCGCCCATCTTTGTGGTGAACGACGTCGTACTTTTTCTTATATATGACTATAAAATATTCAATTTTGGGTCTGAACTGGAATATATCAAATATCTAAAATAAAGCCATTTATTTCACTCCTGCAACTAAAGTCAGGGGAACAATATAGATATACAATAGATGTTTGGTAGTGCTGATGGATAACTCATCGGTTTCGAAGAATTTTTTGCTCTTTGCTTTATTAGTTTTTATATTCCAATGACAATATCCTGTCACAATCCTTAAAATATGTGACTTCATTAGGGAGTAAAGTTATATATGTCCTACATTTGAATCTTATTGAATAAATGATCTTACAACATCATTAAAAGATAACAACAATACAATTAAATAGACAAGGGCGGCGTGTCTCTGGATATTTTCTGGAGAGCGGACGTCGTCAATCGAAGTTAATGAATGATTGGCCGACGATCTAATTCATAAAAATATTCGCGGGATGCATCAAGCACTATTCAACTACTTGATGAAACGAACGGGATTCTCCTTTTTTTGAGTGATTAAGGCTTGTTACCCATCTTAACCTTGGCAGTCTGAAAAAATTACATTCATGCCGTTAATATTGAACCATAGTAGAATAAATCACTATAAATGAACAAATAGGCGCATTTTTCATACAGAGGTACAATTGATGATGATAACAAATTAGCAATGTTATTAGATCTGCTATTCCGGCTACTAGAACCAAGCCTTGTAATTGATCACTCGTGCCCTTTTTTAAGTTCGCCTGGAAATATTGCAAAATTCCATAAAACTCAAAAATATAATGGGCTTAAAAAATGTGTATGTATAAATATCCCGATGGGTGTGTCAATTTTCCAACCGTTTTCTATAATGACATAATTAGAACATTCCGTTATTATTTAAATGACAATCTTGATTTCACCCATTGCGACAACCCGCGTTAGTTTACTTAGATTATACTGTTACGTCCTAACGTACACAATTGTTGTTAAAGTCTATTGAAAAATAAATTTCCAATAGAATTTAACAATAATAATGCAAATTAATTATTAACTTTTTATAATCAGAAATTGAATTGAAAATTCCAGTACTTGTTTTACAAAAATAAAACAAGTGAAAGTTTCAAATATGAGAATATTAAATGAACATTCTCATATTAAAATAACGAAAGAAAACGCGTTACCAAGGGGCCTTATCACCCTCGGCGTCAAATTACCCTTAGGAACAGTCATACGACTGTTTCCAAGTGATCCCTCCCTACCTCACCACCCGAAATTCTCAATCAACCTCCTCTCGCGCCAACAAGTGCGTTACGCAACGCACCCCTCTTCCCAATCCCCTCGCGCCCACATTACCCACGCGCCTAAAAATCCCACCTAATACTTGTTCCCCTTCCCCAAAAAAAACGCATGGGCACTCAGCAGTGCACCACAATCCCCCACCCCCACACAATTATTAATTCGTGTATGAATTAACATACACCAATTAATAATTGGCGTCAAAGAGGCCTTGCCCAAGACAACGGCCAATCTTCCAGTCAGTTCCGCTTGGAAGTCCACATAATTAGTTTCGTTTGTGAAAAGAAAATGTATTAATCACCCAGAAGGAAAGAAAAACATTTTTTTTTGTAAAGAAGTGAACCTAGAAGAAGGAAAAGAAAAAAAAAGAGGACTATTTCTATACTAAGGACATTCCTATTAAGAACATTCGCACTGAGGGCATTCACACAGGATAAATCATTCGCATTGAGGGACATTCGCACAGAAACCTGGCATACAGGATAAAAGATTCACACTGAGGACATTCACGCAGGATAACCCAATTATACCAAAGGACTTCACACCAAGAACATTACGCCTGGGAAATAATCGCGCAAGATTATTAATCGCCAACTGGAAAAACAACAATTGAAGATAGAGGTTGGTAATTTCTATTAAAATTTATAGTGAAAGTGCGTGAATTATCAAACAGTTATTATATTTTTTTTGCGAATTGTTCATATCATTCCGATTTATTAACGTGAATTATTATAAATTAATTATCGAAACTTTTAATCAATCAATTACTTAAAATTTGTGAATTATTCAATTAAGTGATTTTTCCAAATAATTAATTGTATAACGCGAATTGGTTATATCATTCCGATTTATTAACGTGAATTATTATAAATTAACTATCGAAACTTTTAATCAATCAATTACTTCAAATTTGTGAATTATTCAAGTAAGTGATTTTTCCAAATAATTAATTAAATAACGCGAATTGTTCATGTCATTCCGATTTATTAACGTGAATTATTATAAATTAATTATCGAAACTTTTAATCGATCAATTACTTCAAATTTGTGAATTATTCAATTAAGTGATTTTTCCAAATAATTAATTAAATAACGCGAATTGTCCAAATCAATCCGATTTATTAACGTGAATTATTATAAATTAATTATCGGAAATCTTAATCAATCAATTACTCCATATTTGTGAATTATTCAATTAAGTGATTTTTCCAAATAATTAATTAAATAACGAGAATCGTTCAAATCATTCCGATTTATTAACGTGAATTATTATAAATTAATTATCGAAAATCTTAATCAATCAATTACTCCAAATTTGTGAATTATACAATTAAGGGATTTTTCCAAATAATTAATTGAATAATGCGAATCGTGCAAATCATTCCGAATTATTAACGCAAATCGTTGAATTCTCTTCCAAAATTATTAACATGAATTGTTATGAATTAATTATCCAAAAATATTAAGCAATTAATAATTCCAATTTTTGTAATTTATTCAATTAAATGATTTTATTCCCGAATCATTAACGCGAATTGTTATAAACTAATTATTGAAATTTTAATCAACCAATTATTCCAAAAATTGTGATTTATTCAATTAAATTATTGTTCCCAATAATTAATTAAATAATGCAAATTGTTCAAATCATTTCCAAATTATTAATGTGAATCATTATAACTAATTATTGAATTTTTAATCAATCAATTATTTCAAAATTGTGAATTCTTCAATGAAATGATTTTTCCCCAACAACTAACTAAATAAACGTGAATCATCCAAATCAAATTCCGAATTATTAATCCACAGATTATTCAAAAATCGTGAATTATCAAGCCATTACCTTTTCGAATTGTTAATGACTCCAGAAATTATTCACTCATTTCCGAAAATTATTAATTAAATAAAGTAAAATTTAGACACATAGAAATTAATTCCAATTGAATTACCTGTGATTTATTCAATTAAAAACTTTTTGTTAATTAACAATCTTACGGATTATTTAAATTAGCTTCAAATCATCATTGAAATAACGCAAAATCATTCCCTTTTAAAAAAAAGCATGTAACGTTTTTTGTCAGCTTTTTTTGGCGCTATGCATATCAAAATATATCTATATAATATGATATATATATAAATTATATTAATTTTTTTTCATATAATAATATTCAATATTTTAATTTTTATATTATATTATACTAAATTTATATAATATAATATATAAATTTAATATAATTTATTAAATTTTAAATTATTTTTTTTATATAAAAAATTTTTAGACTTTTTTCTATCTTCTTTTTGAAATTCTATATATGTATATATTACATTGGAAATATATAAATATATACATATTCCAATGATAACACCCCATACGTGGACGATTTGGCGCGCATAGCGCGCCATATACGCTAGTATAACTTAATTTTTGGAATGTTAATTAACCAGTTATTAAAAATTCGCGATTATTAATTAATTTAACTTTTCTTAAAAAGGAAGGGAAAAATCGAGGACCTCCCAAAGGAAAATCTCAGAGATCCGCTAGAGCAACGCTTCAGAAGAGTTTATTTAATATCAAAGGTTTTTAAAAATAAAATATTCATTGAAATTCAATTAAGGATGGTCAAACAAAAGGAATAAATTTCATTAGTTAAAAAGATTAAATGTAAAAAGGAAAAGGAAATCCTGTTAAAATTGTCAGAAAATTACATTGTTCATATTAATGATTATCGTTCTCAAGGAAATCGCTCCTCATCAAGTTGAAATTCCAAATTGATAAATTCTTGAATTTAAAAATTTAGATTCATAGGATCAATTCCCTTGATTTTTCATTATTATCATGTATAACAAATAATTAAAGTTCTGAAAGAAGATTGTCCATTTCTGATTTAATTCCTCTTGGCATTTACTCCGATCCCAAGCTATTTCCGAAAGGTAGGCTGAAAACAGGAGAACGTAATAAGCATAGTTTGCCTTATTTATTTGATAATCACTATCAAATATTTATTGAAAACGTGTCGTAACAATACCAACTATACGAGCCATGATTCCATCCATTTCACTTCCATTCCGAGTAATCATTGAATATTGTTAACAAAAACATCTCCATGACAAATTCGTCTTTAATTTATTTTGAGCAATAAAATGTGACGTCCGTCGAAAGTTCAAATAAATATATATCTTTATTCAGGAACAATAATTGGCATCACACAAATGGGTGTTTTCGAAATAATATTACTTCCCACGGTGACTGAGAAAACATCTGGGGAAATGAAGGTACAGACACTTGGTGCATACTCAAGTGCATTTTTCTACCTTTGCCGGCCATTGAAAATATGTAAATAAATTTCAATTTGTCAAGATCAGATTCCAACAATGTAAATATCGAGTCAGTTAATAACTGAAATCAATGGTATTCAGTACATTTTAATCTCCGAATGCGGATTTTGATCGAAGTTATAAAATGTACAGGGTGTCCCAGAAGTACATGCTAATACTTTACCAGCATGTAAAGGGGGTGATTCTCACCCGAAAAGTCCTTTTCCACTTTTGGATCACAAGCACCCCCCCCCCCCCCCCCGAGGATATTGGGGTAAATATGCGAGAAAATGACGCTGCAGCGTACGTTTGTGTGACTTCGATATATGCATGAGAGACACCCCTTCCAGGCAGCGTGCTATGTGTGCGGAGCCACACGGGCGTCCTGCCGTTTAACGCCGCACCGTCATTGGCTCCTCTATTTACCCCAATATCTCGGGGGCGGGGGGGGGGGGGGGTGCTTCTGAAAAAAAAAGTGGAAAAGGACTTTTCGGCTCAGAATCACCCCCTGCACATGCTGGTAAAGGATTAGCATGTCCTTCTGGGACACCCTGTATTTATTCTGATAGAGCTCAGCTCAGATGAGTTAAAGAGAATATAATTCAACAATACCACTCAATGATTTTATTAATTGTTATACTGACCAATCAAATTTTTTCATTAAAAGGCGACACCCCATAATCTTAGAATTTTTTGTAAATTTTGAAATAAATAAATTAAATAGAGATTATGGAGGGAAACATGGAATTCCTGAAATGATTCTCATTGGTAGTTGGGAAGGAAAAGTCCGCCCACACCTCAATATTTTACGTAAATCTTAATGTGGAAGGGATGGAGTTAACCCTGAAACATTGGGACTTTTAAACCAGGGGGGGAAACTAGATTTGCTTTCCTTACTTTCCTGAGGCCAACCCGCAGAGCAAGCATTAAAAAATGCTTGCACAACAGGAATTGAG